TGCTGTTTTTGTACATTTAATTGAATTCCAATTTCTATCTAATTGCAACTTGACAAAAATCCAGAAGTAAAAAAAAAAAAAAATTACATCTAGTTGATAAATGCATCATTTACCAACTCCATCCAAATGCAACTTGTCAAAAATCCAGAATAAAATTTTATCCAGTGTAAATGTGCAAGACTCCAAATATGCACATCAGAATTGAACAATCACATTCAGTACATGTGTCTTTGACTAAGGAATCATTAGTACCCCGCCACAGTATTTACTTGGCTTGGTGCTATGTATTTTGGAATTGCAAAGCAGAACTAAAAGTGGTTATGGAGTAAATCCTGTGACACTTTTTCTGCAGCTGTACCATGAATTTAAGATAAATTCATGTTCAGACAGTCTGCCCCTGCCACAACCACTAATTCCAACCAGGAGAGTTTGAACGGCTTTAATAGTGTTAAAAACTCTTCTTTAAGTTGTATTGCGAAGACAGACAATAATATATTTTAAAGTGATCAGCTGCAGATTAAAACTAACATGGCCAGGCCTACAAAATGAATTGAAAAACATGCTTGTAGTATATTTTAAATGAAAGATATTGACCTGTATTTAAGATTTACATCTGTTATGGGCCTAAAAGTTTAAACATTTAGAATCTTCCAGATCTCATTTACTTTAAAAATCAATAAGGTCAGTAAATAAGCATCTTGTTCACTATGGGGGTGAAAGGGGTCTGCAGTATTGGATTTATACGTACATGGGTTCACCTAAAATGTTTTCTACCCATTGGAAATGAAACAGGAAATACTGTATTTTTGTAATTCTTCCCTACCACCAACTACACCAAAATAATGAAATCTTACTCAAGTGGTGTTTTGGCCTAGTAAGGACTTCAGTATTGAGCCCAATTCTGAAAGGTGCCACGTACCTTTTGAGAGCCGAATTGCCCCTCGTAATCGGGGGAGTTGGGCGTGCTCACATATGATAGGCCAACAGTGAGTAAAATCACCATTTGGCTGCCATATGGGAAACCTACATCTGAGAACATTTGGCAAGCAGCAGCTAGTCTTGGTGTACGGAGAATGCACAATCTGAGTGATTTCTTTGTAGTTTCTCCTGCCAACTCAAAGCTGTACTGGTCAATGTGTGGGTGCATCATAAGGGAACACAACTGGCATGTGGGTGGGGAGGAATAAGATTTGAGAAGAATGGAAGGTTATGCGTTGGCTGTTTAGAACTAACTGTACATTTTGCTCTGGTGTTGTCATTTCAGGTATCATCCCTTGGAATGCTGTACCAGGCAGGGCTTGTGGTCCAATTTTAGAGAACATCTGCAACACAAATGAGGTACAATAACAAACTACAGGGCTATTGCAGAAGCCAAAGAAAGTCATATTGGAAGATAAATGCGTTTTTCAGAAGCCTCTACTAACATGCCAAAACCATCTATGCAACAGTGGCAAATATCAATATTGTTAACATCTTTCTTCCTGCCATCCAAAGCCAGAAAAAAAACTGTTCTCTAACAAATTTTTTAAAAGTCTTCTGGGCTACCTGTTCTGTAAATAACCAGTAATATAAATAGAGCAATAGAGAAAAAACAACAAAAAAATTTGCCGTGTTAGAGTTCTACATTGAAATGGCAAACAGATTCAATTGTATTTTCCTCTAATCATTAAAATATTTGTTTTAATCTCTTCTTTTCTAGTTCTACATGTCCTATCACCTGTTCATTGTGGCCTGTGCTGGAGCTGGTGCCACTGTCATAGCCCTGGTGGGTAACATCCTCCATATTTCTAATGAAACACTCCTTTCAGCTTTTAATAAGATATTAAACACCTTGAAAACAGTGATACCTCAAATAAAACAGAGTGACCTGTTGCACTTAAGCTTGTAGAATAGTCACCATTATTTAGGTGCATTGCACCTCAATGTAGCTTTCTTAAATTAGAACATCCATCAGAAAGGCAAGCAAACTTTGAGGGGATAATACTTTGAATAGAACTTTGCTTATTGCAACTCTTTTAATAGCATTTGATAAATTACTCTGTTTGTAGTTTGCAATTCTAGTTTGACTCCGGATGGGGCAAGGCCCAACTCTGGTAATTTAAAGCCAGAAAAATCCCAAATTCTGGCCATAAGAAGTTAAGTTTTTTTATTCTTTAGAAATAACCAAACTTCTTGACTCTTTTGTTCTGAAATATCCTGCTTCTGGGATTTTTAAACTTGAGCCATTTCTCTCCCCAGTTTCTCCCTTTTTTTTGTTTCGCAGTGAAGGGTAGTATGTAAACCTGTTACTCTGCTTGTCTGAACCTAGGACACTTGGGGTCAGGTCACTGGTACTGGGCCTACAAAAGCTACTTAGGCAAGTGGAAACGTAGCCAGTAACAAGATGGCATGTTTCACTTTTTTTCTTACAGTAAGGGACTATTGGAGCTATCAACTTTTAACATCGCATTAGCCAAATTCAGGGGTGATATTCACTCTTCTTCCACTGTAGCTGCCCCAGGCCAGACTGTAGATTATATCTAAAACTGAGTAGCAAAATATTTGCTTAGTACAAGTCTTGAATCATCATCTGAGACAGTTATGTCTGTCATAGAATTGATCGAAAAATTGCTTGAAGAGGGCTTGAGCCGTCAGCTTATTGTATCTTACTCTCCTGTATTTTGTTCTTTTCCACCAGCTGATCTACATGATGGCTACCACATATAACTATGCTGTTTTGAAGTTTAAGAGTCGGGAAGATTGCTGCACTAAATTCTAAATTGAATAAGCCCAGTAAAGAGCTGCATGTGTAGCCTGAAATACCACTGACACTCTAGACTAAGAGTCTAGCTTTTCAATTTTGTTACAGTAATTTGTAAATAGCTTCAGTAAGCATCGTTTAGCATATCAGATTAATAAAATGACTTATTGTATATGAATTTTGATGTGGATGAGATCTGGCTATTTTCTAAACGTTGAGAGGATTCAGTTACTTTAGTTGTTGCAAATCATCCTCTGAAGACAGGAGTTATTAAATGAAAGACATCCTAACAGTTCTCTCTCAAACAAATTTTTAAATGGCAGTGATTAGTTATTTTTCTCTCTCCTGTGCACTAGTTTCAATAGTAAGAATAAAGCATCCATTATAGATGGTGTACAAGGGACCAGGGTGATAATAGTGCCAGTACATAGCTGTTTGACTGACATACAGTACCATGTGTTTACAAATGTATTTTTTTTAAAAAGGCTCCCTATACATTTGCCAGTATTTCCAATGTATGGATGACAAAGTCACAAGGTACAGCCTATTAGTGAGGCTTCAGGAAACTCTACAAGAATTGAAACTTCAATACTAAATTTTCAAGTAACTGCCAAATCGTGCTTTCTCTGGAAAAAGAAAATACCATTCTATAGCGCTGCGTAAAACAATCACTTTCCTTTTTGGACCCCAAACTGACTGTAAGAAACAGCATTTAGGTAATTTTTGTGCTGGTTCTGTTTATGAAGTAGTAACTGATTTCTCAGTAGCCAGATCTCAAAATATAAGTTTGACTGTATGGGAAGTGAAACTGTGCATAGACCAACACTGTTGAAAAGGCACAAAAGAATCAAGGTGTTTTCAGATGTAGATTTTTCTTGCATGAAATTTGGTGAAAAGAAGATGGCAAGAGATTTTTACTGTGCAAACTGAAACAATTTCTATATATGCTCAAACTTTACCTGAAAGTAGAAAATGGGAGTTTAAAAAAAAAAAGTTATAAAAATGCCACCACTAAGATTTGTTAACTCCGCCTGCATGCTTTTACTTATAGTTTCGGACTCACGTTTCCTTATTTAATTTCCCCATGTTAAAATGTAGCTTTTTATTATTCATAGTAAACAATGTTTACAATTTTAGGCTTCTTTGGGGGGGTTGAATGGAACGGGAGGGAAATCTCACCAGAATCTTTGCACTACATGTGTTTAAAGAAAAACACCACAAACTTAAGCATCAGTTATCGACTCTAAGCTTCAGAGTATATATTTGCCAAATGCAAAAAGCTGCTTATATTTTTGCTTCCTTTTTTCCTGTGTTGCATTTTAACAGATCAGTAAAACTCTTTAGTTCATTTTTACTACTTCTGCATACTAACACTCTCTAGCTAATAAACAAACTAGAAGATAAGCATGCAAAATTCTAGAAGTCAATTGAAATGAGCCTCTGTGCTGTTTAATAGCAAAATGCTTATTAATGTAGAATAACTTTTGTTTAATGAACGTCTTAATCTGACTAGCAGCTCGCTTTGCCTCTTGACATGCTCACTAGCCATCATGCTCACCCTTCTCTTCCAGATCCACTTCCTCATGATACTGTCTTCTAACTGGGCCTACTTAAAGGATGCAAGCAAAATGCAAGCTTACCAAGATATCAAAGCAAAAGAAGAGCAGGAGCTTCAAGATATCCAGTCTCGGTCAAAAGAGCAACTCAATTCTTACACATAAAAGTTTGCCAGAGTAATTCAACAGAAGAATTTTGTAGTTCTGACAAATCGTCAAACAGCTGCTCTGCAGTACAGATGTATGTCTACCAAACAATCTAATACAGAAGTGTAAAAACTTCACATTCAAGCTCCTGGAACATGTTCAAAGGGAAACCTTCCAGTGGGTAACCTTCCTTTCTTTAGTACAGATTTAAGAGGTTTCAGGTCCAGCCATTTTAAAAGGCAACACTTTGTAACAAGTGACCAGTCAGTCATCCTTTTGAGATTCTTGGTATTAATTCTTATGGCCTGAAGTTCGTCCACAAAATTGTAGTGGGTCACCCAAAACAGCAAGTAGCAGGAGATTTATGGCCATAAATAATTGCACAGTTATGAGATGTGATAAAACAATTATCCCAGTTCTATACCAAATGAAACTGTGGCTAGCTCATCAGATTTCTCATAGCTCACGTTTATTTACTGATACAATCTCAGCATGTAATAAAGCAGCTGATTCATAAAAGGGCAAGTGTCTAACTAAAAACACTTTTTTTTTTTTATTGGGCTGAAGACCAGAAGTCCATTTTCAGAGCCACATCTTTTTCAATAATGCTATAGTGAGCCACTGTCACTCTACTGCACTTACTATCTGCGTAAGCTGGGTGCTGAGTAATCGCTCAGCTGCTCCAAGTTTTAATTATTTTTATTAATTGATGGATATGTTGATGGAATGTAGATGCCTGTCAAGATAATGATCCCCTTCTTTGAAAATAAATGTCAGCTTTGCCTTAATATTTATTTTCTATAAATGTCTTAGCATTTATATAGTAGCAGGAGACCATTATCTGTATTATTAAGCAAAAAGTGTTACCTTATTAAAATGAAACTGATTTGACTATTCCAAATGAGCAGACTAGTGAATCTGCAGAGTTTGACATAAGCTATAAAAAAAATACAGCCATAAAGCAGACCACTGGTCAGCCATCTTTCTCTACTTCGGTGCTTAAGTTTATAGCCAGCGCTTATTCATTTTCTCTTTATAAAATCACAAAAAGCAAGTGTGGTGTTCAGCAAAAAATCTGGTGCCGTGTTAAAGTCATTTCCCACAGCAGTCTGCCTTCATTTTGTTTTTTCAGAAACATTCAGTGATATCTTGAGTATTAGTGATGGGTATAGTTGGTGTTTGTTCTTTACAAAATATATATAAGTATGGGGGGGGTAATCAAGTATCAGTCATTTGAAAAAAAATTAAATGGTAAAGTCAAGTTATATTCCCATGTTAAGTTAATGTGTGGTTTGATTAGTTTTGACTGTTGGCTGAATATTAAAATAAAAAGGAAGCACAAATTTCTTTAGCTAAGTCAATATTAAGATGTGGACAGACATTTTTCAAGTATTATCTTACAGTTGAATTTTTTGGTTAAATGCCTAAAAGTCTAATTTGACAGTTTTTTAAAAAGGGGCAAAGTGTCTGTAGAGCAGATGACAGTGTAGCCTAGTGCTTGTTTTACCTGTTGCATGAAAGAGAAACATTTCTACAGCAATGCAGGTGATGTTTTAGCCCAGTGTTTGCATAAGGGTAATGGAGGCAGTGTCTTAAAGCCTAATTCTTTTCTAGTTCGATGTAGCTATTACTGGGAGTTTTCTGAAGTTTTGTTTAAGTAGTCTAATATTTTTATGTAAAGAGCATTAAATTTTGCTATGTATAAATTTTTGTAACCTAACAGTGAATCAATATTTTCTATCAGTGCCAAGGGCTTCCTGTAGCTATATCCAAGTGTTACAATAAATATTTGTAGATAATAGACACACCATTTGTCTATACTTATTTTAAGACTCTTTTTAGACAGTTATAGCTGTACAAACAATGAGAAAGTTACTTTATTTGGATGAATTCTACATCTTACAACTTTTGAATTTATCTCTGATAAGTTCATCCTGAGTAAAATAATTCAATATTTATTGAATATATCACCTGATTGGGGAGAAATGCTACCAGGACTTTGCTTCTCAGGGGCATGCCACAGGCTGTAGATGTTTCCAGTGTGATAATAGCCCACAACTGCTAAAGCATTTTAAAGAACAAATTCAAGTCGCATCATGCACCAAAGTGCTTTTCATAAGTTCTTAAAATCAAACTAATACCCTGAGCAGTAAACATATAGGACAGAAGACCATGTGCATGATGTAATTATTTTTCTTCATATTTGGTTCTTGAGCGTTATACAAAATTGGAAATGTCTTTACCTCTCAATACTCAGCTGCTATCCCAAATCACTCGGCTCTGCTGTGAAGTTACCTGTAAATATCCTCTTAAGCTAAGTATTAATTTACTAAACAAAAGTTAGTTAAAGCAGAGAAATGACATTTTTCCAGGGATACAAACTATTAAGTATGGCCAACTTGACTTCCCAATAGTGACTGTGGCTGAATGAAGAATCAGTCAATGTTAATTATTACACATCTCATGCACTCAGTTTTACAGAAAGAGATTGCTAACCCTGCAACCACCTGAGAGTCAAGCTAGGGTTTTCGACTTGTTACACGTTATCAGTAACCATGACCCAAATCAAGTGCACTACTAGTTGCACCTTCACTATACCTACTGTATAGTACAGTGGTTCTCAAACTTATTTGATTATGCCCCCTTCCTTTGTGGCTGTAGTAGTTTACATCTCCCGCCACACAAGTACATATATGGATCGATGCAGCAGCAGTGCTTCACTTCAATCAGTTTCAGCTTCTTTGTTTTCACTTGAAGTATTATGTTTCTGTTGTAGGAGTGAGCCAACAAGCCATTGTAATAAGAGCAAAAGCAAAACTGTGATTGTGGTCCATGCTTACAATTTAATCCATTTGCTATGATGTGGTGTGTGCATTTATGTAAAGCTTATACAAAGTTGTTGCCATCTGAACAGAAATGCACAAAATGCACAGCACTAACTGAAGACCTGATTGATCTGGAGAAGTCAGCTTTGCTAGTTATTTATTGCTGGTGGTAAAATGTGCAACAAAAGGGGTCCTCCCCCAGAATACATTCCCTGCTCCCCAGTTTGAGAACCTCTGAAGTAGTACATATTGCTGCTTTAAAATATTTACCCACAAACCAAAGAGTACTTCCATATTACATTTCTTACTAATTAGAAATTCTGTACCTCAATAATGAGAACGTGTCAGAGCACAGGTGCCATATTTTATTATAAAATACCAGAACAGTCTATAAAATGCAAAAATGCACCTAAAAAAATGTAGAAGATTAAGACAGTTATGCTTGTACCCTCTTATGGAATATTGAAGATACCAGCAGTGAAACAGCATGAAGCTCACCTTTTAAAAAAATGTATTATTCTTCCCCCGTCTTGCTGCTGCTTTAGGAAAGTACTTAAACAAGTTATCTCCAGTGAAAAACTACACTAATCTAAAGGTGGTTTCAAAGAAATAATTATCAGGTATCTATCAGAACACATTAAAGATTTTAATCATAATCGGCATATCTGAGCCCTTGTGTCAGAGATGGTCTTCTTGACATGCCATTTGTGAAACCAGCAATATAAGCATGCTGGAAAAGACACTCACTTTCAAATCTACTTACTTTGAATTTTCATTTTTATCATTTAATCTTTAAAACTCTTCTCTTAAGGCAAGATTGTATTTTTTTAAAAGTCACCTAATTTACCTGAAAAAATGCTGAACTGCTTTACATCCTAATAGAATAGGCACCTTTGCTTTTCAGTCACAGCCCAGAGCTTTTTCATGAATATGAAAACAAACACTTTCTGATCAACAGGCTGCAGTGACTCCTAGAATATTTTGTAAAGATATGGGAAAGCTTAAAACACAAAGGTTAGGCCATGTGCTTATGATTTTAGCAGCTATTAGTACTACCAGTCATAGTAGATTCATCTAAAATTACTCATTTGGGATAATGTCTTTGTAAAAGGCTTCTAATTTTTTTAATCTGAACATGTTAAACTTTAATTCTGATCCCCAGCTGAAACCATTGTGCATGAAAATATTCAGTTCTTGTGGTGTAGTGACTGTTTACATAACTTCACACCATCCTCCAGTGTGCTGGTCATTAGGAGATAGTAGCTGCTATTCACCAGAAGTCTTCATCTGGCTCTCCATGAGAGACGCCTGCAGCACTAAAAGTGGGATGGAAGGGGAAAGGAATTATGAATCTGTTCTGAAGCAGTCTTCTACCTGAAATTTACTCATACTTCTAAATATCTTCCCTTTCTACTAGAAAGTTCCAGTTGCCTGAGATTTAAGAAGGGACAACCTCCTTAGGGTGACCAGATGTCCCGATTTTATAGGGACAGTCCCAATTTTTGGATCTTTTTCTTTTATAGGCTCCTATTACCCCCTACCCCACCTCCTGATTTTTCACACTTACTGTCTGATCACTCTAAACCTCCTACCTCTGGCTTTACAAATTAGCCTTTCAAATTACAGTGACATAGTCAATAGTCCCAGGCAGTAAGTGGATTCTTGAAAATTAATACCAGTGTCTGAGCATAAGCTTCTGACACAATGAAATCATCTTATCAAAAAATAAGAGGGTATCTATTTGTGAATCATAGAACAACAGGGTTGGAAGTCCAGCCGCCTGCTCAAAGCAGGACCAATCACCAACTAAATCATCCCAGTCAGGTCTTTGTCAAGTGTGACCTTAAAAACCTCTGAGGAAGGAGATTCCACCACCTCCCTAGGTAACCCATTCCAGTGCTTCACCACCATCCTAATGAAAGTTTTTCCTAATATCCAACCTAAACCTTCCCCACTGCAACTGGAGACCATTACTCCTTGTTCTGTCATCTGCTACCACTGAGAACAGTCTAGATCCATCCTCTTTGGAACCCCCTTTCAGGCAGTTGAAAGCAGCTATCCAATCCCCCCCTCATTCTTCTCTTCTGCAGACTAAACAATCCCATTTCCTTCAGCCTCTCCTCATAAGTCATGTGCTCCAGCCCCCTAATCATTTTTGTTGCCTTCTGCTGGACTCTTTCCAATTTTTCCACATCTGTAGTGTGGGGCCCAAAACTGGACACAATACTCCAGATGAGGCCTCGCCAATGTCAAAGCATACCGGCTGCCAACTAGTCACGGAACCATTGATCACTACCCCAATGCGGATAGATAATACACTGTTTTTATTAGATGGGAATCCCTTATGTCACCATTCATGCACAACCTTACGTAACACAATGTTTAGCATGTGAGAGGGGAGAAATAGAAACTGCCTACACTATGCGCTAGAGCTGTAATTTCCTTTGCTAGTCTACACATGCTTGCGCTAGCTCTCATTGACCAATACGAGTATAAATAGTGTAGCTGCAGAAGCCTGGGTAGTGGCACCGGAGGTTGGGCAGGGCAGGGTATTTACCCACCGGTTTCAGGTGGGTTTCTATGGGCTATGGCTCAGCTGCCAAAGAGAGCTAGCACAAGCAGGGGAAGTCACACCACTACCTTGTAGTGTAAACACAGCCACAGTAAGGAAGACACACTTTAGTTACAACTTACAAATTTAAATTATGCAATAAATGTTTATCTACTTGAGTAAATGTATCTTATTAAACCATTCAAACTTCTACTGAAACATTCCAGCTACATCTGCTGTTTTTTGTCTGTACCAGGGTTACTCTAACTTCCAATGAGTTAAATGGAAAGACCATCATCATAGGTGAAGCGCAGAAGCATTAGCAGAAAAAGCATTAAAATACCCTCTAGTTTTAGCTAAGCATATAACAACCAATCATTGGGAAGCAGGGATAGTTCAAGATTTACTTCAACAATTAGCTCTTTATGTAAAAATTCAGACAAGCCAATCCCACTCGAGCATAACATTGCACTACTTCTATTTGCAATTAAAAAAAAAAAAAGCCCACAGGTCTAATAGACGGAATGAAAAAATGGGCTTTGTGGGATGGTTTAGGGACCTGTGTAATGGGATAAGGAACCTTTTACATCATGGGCTCAGAGCTGAAGCAAGTGAGTTTTTATTCTCCAACAACTCTTTCCTGGTCTACCTGAAATAAATTGTTAATCACAATCCAGTGCCAGAATGAGCAAATATATACATAACCAAACCTACTCTGCCAATTTGGCACTCTCATTTGTTGGCCTTGCAGAGATGTTAGGCAATAAGAGTGTCATTAACCCACAGGAATTCTCTCAAGCTCTGGGCAATGTGGAGGTTGTGCTGCTGCTGTCCCAGCAATGAAGGGATAATCAGCAGGGCTGTTGACCTATCTCCCTTGAATGCAGTTGCTTAACATCACTGTAAATGAGGGTGTTTACAAATGCTGTAATAATTTCTTCACCCAAGAGAAGAGGGCTGCATTTTTCTAAGGAAAATTAAAGAAAAAAATAGTCTTCTTTACTTAAAAGGATACCTAACTTCAGCGTATTGCTTTTGATCTACTTGTTTAGGAGAAAGGTTTGTCTGAAAGTTATGTATGAATTTCATTTGAAAAGGCAGACATGTTAACTATAAATCAAACCACAACTATCACATTAATAAAATGAGTCACATTTTCAAGTAACTGAAATACCATTTCTGTGACTCCTTAGTAATTAATAATACTTCAGCTTTAAATAATAATTGTATCCAGCCTGACCTGTCATCTTTTTCACTAGACAGAAGTTTCTCTATCAGTGATACTTCTTCTTCCGCTTCCTCTTTTTTGGAGCTCTGGCAGACACGAGAAAAGCATTAAATTTGGTTCTTTGGCCTAACTTTACAAACATCATAGTACTATTGTAGCATATGATCTTACAGAGAGCTTAAGCACATAGATAAGCTATTGTTGTCAACAAATGCTATCTATGTAGTTTTATGCACACCATGACTTTTTAAATAATGTCTTATAGAAGAGCAAGCACATTGCCAGCAATATGGTATTACATCCCAAAAGTAATGATGTTTGGGGATACAAAATGTGAACCACTTCTGAACAGAAATGTATAAAATAATTTTATTACACAAGAAATTCCATTTTTGATGACAATCCACTCATTGGAGTGCTTCAATGGAATTTTTTTTCCATCACATAGTCACTTGTTCTCTCAGGGCTAAATGTTTAATTTTTGACATCCATTCATCTGGAAGCTATTTCACACCTGCCATTTTTGTGCACTCTCATTTACATGTATAAATGATAGCAGTGACAGAGGCAAACCCAATTTCTGCAAAGATGGGTTTTGGAAGTATAAATTCTATCGTGTGTGTTATGTACATTATGCATACCGACTAGTGAACGTGCAAGAGGAGGTCCCTTTAAAAATTAGGCCCTCGGTTTTAACTATCCTCTGTTTACATACAACATTTTGAAACCATTAATTTCTAACTACGTTAAATACACATATTCTATTGTTTTGTGTTACTGTTTGACATGATGCAATATAGCTGGGCACAGCCTTATATAAGAAACGCAATCTTGCCATTCCCACATGACCTAGGCAAAACCCCTTGGGAAGACAGCTCTCCAACAGTGAACAGACCAACTATATTATAAACCTGCTCCTCTTCTCACAATTTGTTACTCTAACTTTCACACTGAAAATGAAGAAGTCCAAATTGAGTTGACAGTATTCTCCACCTCAAGATCTATGGATACATTGTAATTCAGACAAAACATTGTCCTCTAGAGTCACACTTTGAAATCACCCTCTTACTGCCTACAGGTTTTGGTATATCACCTTGTTTGTCAGCTCCTGCTCTCTGCTCTGCTGTATCAGTTTCATGTATTTTTCTAGTGGATTAGGACGAGGGTCACACAAATTGTCTTTAGCGTCAGGATTACTGATTTCTGAGTCTTCCACTTCATGGTCTGTCTTTTTTGTTTCTTCTTCATTTTTCAACGAATCTTGGGTCAACTTCTAAAAAACACAACAAAACAGCAATACACTTAAAACTGACCAGCCAGTTCAAAAATATTTCAATCAGGTTTTAACTCAATATGTTTATATATGAAGTTCTGTACATTGCTAGTCTAATCTAGTAATCTGTGCTCCAGTCTGAATGAAGTGTTTAATGTGACATGTACCATATTCACTCACACTTTTGGGACGGGCCAGATCATGCAGGCCTTGCTCAGGCAAAGTCCCATTGTAGTCAATGGGAGTTTTACTTAAGTAGAGACTGGGTATTAGGTATCACATTATTTTTTTCATTCAGTTTGTTCCAATCTGGGAGCCAATTTAGAAAACAGTCTCTATCTTTGGCTTAGAATAAACCAAACCCTGTCCATGTTGAAACCAATACCACACAATAGTGTCACATATTAACATGAATTACTGGACAGCAAGCTTTTAATCTGGGGAAAATTTTTAGAAACAAAGTTTAGTTATTATGTAGCTACAGAAATGAGAGCAAATCCAAGATAAACTATTCTATGTTAAATTCACATAGAAAAAACAATGTAGGAAGTCATCTAGGATTGCTATTTGGCTTATTTAGTTCAAATTATATGGTATAACAAAGTTGCATTCCTGTCAGAAATTAAAATATTACATCACCCTTTCTTCATTCAGTTTTTCTAGTTCTCTTTCCTCCCTTTCCAGTGCTTCCTGCTTTTCTCTTTGCCTTCTTTCTTCTCTTTCTCTCCTTTCTTCTTCCCATTTTTTCTCATTCTCTTCTCTTTTCTGTTCTTCAGACTGGCTTTGATCAACCACTGCTGAGACAAAATTATTTCTGTGCCATTTGACATACACAGTGCTGTAATTAAGATTTGCAAGTGGTGGCTATTGAAATAAAGCATGACATGCAGCTTGGGAATACAGTGAGTGAATTGGTAGTCCCAGTTGGGAAAGATGGAAAACAGACAAACAATTAAGCAGCAAATTGATTATGTAACCGTTTCTGTATGGCACCTATAATAAACCTAAAAAACCTGGATGTGTAGTTTACACACGTACCATATTGTTAATTTGAGCTAATTTACCAGGCAATTTTTTTTCAATTAGTAGGTCTTCTTATCTTACTGGTTACACAGTGAAACTCTAAGACTTAAGCCGAAGAGATAGGACAGTTTTAGGATAAAAGCAGAGGAGAGAGAGTCAGGAGACCTGAGCATAATTCCCAGCTGTGCCACAAATTTCCAGAGTGACCTTGGGCAAGTTATTTAAGCCAAATTTTTCAATCAAATCTGGATGCCTAACCTAAAGTAGATGAAATCCATAGTTACAGTAGGCTTCTAAATAAGTGGCCTGACTTAGAAGTTGTAAACACACACAGCTCCCCCTGAGGTCAATATGGATTTAGAGATGCCCTAGTTTCGGTTCTAAGTAGGAAAATGTTAACCTGAGCCTCTCTGGGCCTCAATTTCCTGATCTGTAAAATGGAGATGATACTACTTGTCTTCCTCATAAGGATGCTGCAAGGTTTAATTCTTTAGAATTTGTAAAGTGTTTTCAGATATTTGGATACAAGAGGTTACAAAATACAAAGTATTATAAAACAGTTATTTAGGAAAAACTATCACAGCACATAAATCTAGTTAAATCTGTGGAGTTTAAATGCTAAGACCATTTATTTCTATAAAGTAAGTAATTTGTTACATGCACAAAATACCAGAAGTTATTTGAAGCTAGAAAGCCTTCTGCCCACAGCAACACCTTTGGGTAAGACTCATACCAAACAAGCTGTTCCAGACCATTATATATAGCTGTACTGAAGCATTGGAGAAATTAAGCATGCTGCATTTAAATCATCTTTGTCTATCTATCTCTGAGGGTTTTATATTGACACCCTTTACAATAGTGATTATATACTCAGCGAATTGGTATGCAAGACAATCAGCAAATGCAGACACACATTAAGGGAAATGCTGAAGAAAGCTTCTCCCTAAAGAAGCAAAGATCATGAAATTAATACTGAGGCCAAAAAAAATGAAGTCTCTTCAGAAGCCAAAAAGCAAGCTTAAAAGATTAAATTAAAACAAAGTTAACAGAAGTACTGGTGAAAATCATCATCCTACAGTAAGTCAAGAATTAACAAACAAAGATGTATTCCTTCTTCTTTAGTACCTAAACACTAGCTTTGAGAAAAGTTTTCAACCACTTCAATACAGGAAACTACAAAATGCTAATTTTTGTTTGCTTTTTGTTTTAATGCATTTGCCATCTAAAAAGGGTATTCACTTTTGTTTCTGAGCTGAGAACTCACTTAAATCCTGCTGTGAAGTGGCTGTTGCTGGCACAGCGTTTGTGACATTGCTCCCATTGACGCTGTCCCCAGATGGATGTGACACATCACTTTCGAGCTGCTCTGGAATGTCCCCTTGATCTGGAGAAGAAGTTTGAACAATGGCCTCATTATTCTGTAATTATAATAGTGGGGCAAAGGAATGGACACGAAGTGTGGGAATGGCTGGAGTGAGAATACATAAATTTAAGCCATTAATTAAGCACTCTCCCCTCCAAACTCAACCATTTAACTGAAAATTAAGAACTATCAAGTAGGCTGCATTTGCTACTTTAATCATAATCATGACATTGTTTGGCTTTGAAAACTAGTTGTAACACGTGTTTACTAAAGCTACGGGCACAACTGAAATCAACGTATACTTGTGAGATAAAAGATTTTTAAAAATCTTATTTGATCCATAAATAAATATAGCCACAAACTGTAAAAAACAAGGTTTCCTTCACATTCTCTCTCTCTCTCTACACACACACACACACACACACACCCCGCTCACAAAAAACAACATTAAAAGCACTCAGAAGTTAGGAAATGCCAGAATGCCTGTTCAACCTTAATTAGTCACACTTGTGTGTAATGCATTATGAGATAGTCTTTAATTACACGATCACATACTATTTTGTCCACAGGACCCACCTCATTCAGGATGAATGGTGTTCACTTAATGAGCAACTATTCAATATGTTGTTTTCTCCTCATTGTTCAATGTATGGCCCCAAGCCTTATTTACTACACACTATTCAAACCCTGCTCTGAAGACATACGTATTTATTTCCTCATTGGCTTCTCAATGGTGCTCATTCCTATAGTATCTGAATGTTTCACAAATAATAATGAATTCATTTTCACAAGACCATTGTCAGGTAAAGGGGTGCTATCCCCATTTTACAGATGGGAAACTGAGGCACAGACAGATTAAAGTCAGAAGTATCCACTAATTTTGGGTGCCCAATTTGAGACACCTAGGTCATTAGATTTTCATGGAACTTAGCATTATATCGCTTTTTATATGTTCCAAGCACAGCTCTCATTGACTTCTGTTGCAAATGTGTGTTCAGCACTTCTGCAAGTCAGATCCAAATGTCTCAAGTAAGGTAGCGAGAAAAAGATGAACATAAACCAAACTTTTGACAGGGAGTCACTTAAGTGACTTGCCTAGTATCACATAGGAACTCTGGAATTCAACTGCCTTAATCACAAGACCTTCCTTTCTTTTCCTACAATCCCCTGCCTCATTCACTATATACCTTCCAACTACTGCAACAAATGAGGCAGAGGTCCAACACACAACAGTCTTCTTTGCTACACAACCCTGATCTATCCACAGAGCAGATCTATCTGGTGCACTGAATGAGACAGGCATCTTGTGGAAAAAATAGAATGTAATTACATAATTAAAGACTGTCTCATAATGCATACACACAAGGGGACAATTTTCCAAAAACTTTTCCTCCTGAAGCACACATCTCGTACGGAAAATTCCTTCCAAAATAGTTACAGTTTAGCAAAGTTATAAGCAACTGAAAACAAGATCTTATAGTGGGAAGTCTCAGGCAACCTTAGTAATAGGTATTCATAAGATTCTGAGGCCAGAGTGGACCATTGAGATCACCTAGTCTAATCTCCTGTATAACACAGGCCCTAGAACTTCCCCCAAAATAATTCCTAAAGCATATCTTTAGAAAAACTTCCAATCTTGATTCACCAGCCTCGTGTACAATGACGCACAAATTTCATTCTTGTTCATGTAGATCAGATAACCCATCATATGATTAACATACTCAAAAGCAACTGTTTTATTTTTTTGGTTTTCTTTTAAATTAGTTTTAAATGATAACTTCGATTAATACTAAAGATATGGCTACTGAAACACAAATATTACTTATTTTGTAGTCATTATCAACAATCATCATCAATATGTTGTTTTGTATATCCCATGCTTGAAACAGCAGAATTTCATGTGTGCAGACTGGCAAAAGCAATGACAAAATAGCAAAACCATTTCTAATATTCTATGAGCAGAAAACAGTATTAATGAAAAGGTCTTTAAACAATCGAAGTCTAAAATGTGCATATACATATAAACTATGCATATAAATGTATCAGAGTTCATATATTTGTATAATCATAAAACACACTGCAAGAAGTATCAATGTCGTTCTTCGGTTACTATATCTTGGATCCAGCTTCTAAAAATCAGTCATCCACACAGAAACAGAGAACTAGAACATCAACAGTATGTATTCACCAAAATAAGACACTAACTAGTACAGCAAGAATGATCTTTATTTGCAGCCAAAAAGCAACACCACTATTTAGAAAGTAAAAAAAAATTATCTTGCGCTGTGTGTATCTTCATTCTTACAAGTGGGTGGAGAGTGCTAGAGAGGTTTTTATTGCTATGAGTTTGGAATAACTGTGCTGTCATGGTAATTATCTACATCAATGATGGAACCCATTTTAGGATGGACTGCCAGATGGGCGTTTCCTGTCTCCTGATGTCCCCTGGCACCATGTGCTGATATAGTTGCTACATCCTCCTTTTTCTCTCTCCATTTTTGCTCTTCTCCTTTTGTTTTATTCCTTCAGTATTTACTTCCCCGCTTTCTGTATTTCCCCTTTTTCTTTTTTATTCTTTTTTGCTTTTTATATGCTGTGGAGAAGGTACGAGGTTAACTTGAAATTGTATGATATGAGATGTTATCAGATAAGTGTTAAGCAAAATTGCATGATGAGGTATGTTACAGGACAAAGAGACCACAAGCTGTTGGGTGCACAGAGGTTTGCACTCCTAGTGGAAGCTCCTCTCAGATTGCTTGTTTGGAATTGGATGGGGGGGGGGAGGCGGGGAGGTGTTAATTCAAAAGGTTGTTTTTTTGGGAGAGAGGGAGCAGGATCACAGGGGGGGGATGCAAAGGTAGATTTGGATCAGGAAGGGAAACACTGCCAGGCTCTTGTAAGATTAGTCTTTCCCTAGTACAGTGGTCCTCAAACTTTTTATATGCGCCCCATCCCCCTTAACTGTAATTGAATCTGTCCACACACATATACACACACTGGAGCCAGGGCCAGAACCGCGGTTAGGAGCCACGGTCGGGGTCAAGGGTCGGGAGCCAGGTCCAGGAGCTGCAGACGGACGTGCGGCTGGGAACGGGCCTAAGGCGCAGCAGAGCTGGGGGCAGAGCAGGGCTGGGTGGCGTTCTCGCCACCCCCCTCCCCCCGGGGGCTGGACCAACACCTGCCACGTCCCCCTGAACATTCCTCTGCACTCCCCTAGGGGCATGCGCCCCAAAGTTTGGGGACCACTGCCCTAATGGAGTAAGAAGTACAAGGGTTACTGAACACTATTATTACGTTTAATCTGGTTAAATAGAAGTTTAGTGGTTTTTCAAACCCAGAAGTCAGAGGTGTTGTCAGTTTGGAGAGATCTGCAGGGCCCTCAAAACGAAGTTAGGAAAAGCAGCCAGGACTGCCTGATATTTATTGGCAAGTGTCCTGAGAGGAAGTTTACAGGGGTCAAATGACTGTACTAGTGCCACAGAGAAATCAATAATGAACAAGGGGTGTACCCATGCAAGGGCAGGTCAGGGCATATGCTTTTCATGTTTCTTCTCTTTCTGCTCTCTTCCTCCTTTCTGATAGCGCTGGTTTTCCTCCACTCACATGCCAATGGAGGTGTTCACTGGTACACCCAACACAGCACTGAGTTTCAGTACAGTTAATTTAGAACCCAGCTCTAGGTACAAATATCTTAAATTATCCCTTCTGTTCATGTGCATCACTAATTGGATGATGAGGCATTTAGCTAATTCTATATAGGCACGACACCTGCTTTTCCCAGTTACTCATAGCACCCAGTCTGTTCTCAAATCCAGTAAAATAAAGGGAAAAAAATAGGTGAATTAGAATCAGTTCCTAAAAGTATCTACTGTAAAATTAAGTAATTTCATAATTTAAATGAATAAATGTCATATCCTAATTGTATGAGCAGAAATACCTAGTGTAGAAGTATTTCAACTAATGCAAGCTGCAGTAAAATAATCTACAGTAACTCCTCGCTTAACGTTATAGTTATGTTCCTGAAAAATGCTACTTTAAGCAAAATGATGTTAAGTGAATCCAATTTCCCCGTAAGGATTAATGTAAATGGGGGGGGGGGGAGGGAGGTTAGTTTCCAGGGAAATTTTTTTCGCCAGAC